GAAATATCACATGTACCCCCAAATATTGTGATGGTTAATACTGAGTGTCAACTTGACTGGGTTGAAGGATGCAAAGTATTGTTCCTGGGTATGTCTGTGAGGGTGTTGGCAAAGGAGATTAACATTTGAGTCAGTGGACTGGGAGAGGCAGACCCGCCCTCAGTCTGGGTGGGCACCATCTAGTCAGCTGCCAGCACAGCTGGGATAAAGCAGACAGAGGAACGTGGAAGGACTAGACTAGATGAGTCTTGTGGCCTCCATCTTTCTCCTGTGCTGGATGCTTCCTGCCCTCAAACATCAGACTCCAAGTTCTTCAGCTTTTAGACGCTTGGACCTACCCCAGTGGTTTGCCAGGGGCTCTCTGCCCTTCGGTGACAAACTGAAGGCTACACCATTGGCTTCCCTATTTTTCAGGTTTTGGGACTCAGACTGGCTTCCTTGCCCCTGAGCTTGCAGATGGCTTCACCTTGTGATCATGTAAGTCAATACTCCTTAATAAAATCCGTCTCATATATACATCTATCCTACTAGTCCTCTCCCTCTAGAGAACTGTAATATGAATATATACAGTTATTTGTCAATTAAAGACAAAACTTTATACATTTTTTTAATTAAAGAAAATTAAGGTACAGGTAGAAGAAGAGGTACTCATGAAAAAAACTAAATTTCTTTTTGTTTATTTTAAAAATACACAGTTTCCTACTGAAAGTGGAATACCTCTAAGATTAAAAAAAAAAATCTGCCTTGGAAACTAACTATTTTGCCTAACTCACCATTTTAGAGACTCATCCCATATATCCCCCTGATGAATCTGGTGCATAGACTCATCTCATGGTTTTCTTTTTTCTTCCTCTACCAATATTTACAAGCAGAATTTGCATTTTCAGACTTTTTGACAAAATCAATGGCATACATATGCGTGTGTGTGTGTGTGTGTGTGTATGTATAAATAAAAAATTGACAAGACTGTAGCAACTGAAAGTAAAGCCCAAAGATAGAACCTCAAAAAAAATGAATTCAATATAATCTATTTAATTTTAAAAGGCTTTAAGACTAATGGCATCCCAATGCAGCATTCATTTATTTAAAAAAAAAAAAAAAAAACTACATTGAAGAATCTTCTTTCCTAAAATTAGCAGAACTGATAAAAACTATAGGTGACAACACATAAGAAAAAAATAACCTATTTATAAACACTAATGTGATACCAAAAAAGTAAAATCTAGCATCAATAATCTAAGTGAACTCTTTGAATCAGTCAATAGGTATAAAGTAAAAAACATTTTTACTTTCTAAAAGTCACTACTAAAATTCTGCACCAAAGAGGCCATTTTACAGAATAAAAGGTGATGCGAGTGGAAAGTCCTCTGAAACTTGAATGCCTGGTCCTAGACTTGTGAACTATGTGTTTGCCCTTAAGAGCAAGAACAAGGTAAAAATACAAAGAGGAGCTTAAGGGATTTAGGAGATTCATGGATGACTGACAACGGGATCTTGCAGAACTTGGGGAGATCTGCATTACTTTGCTAAATTCCCTCGTCATCCATTATTTGTTCTATGACTTCACTGCAGAAGAAAACCAGACCCTAAACTAACCTTTGGCTGTTAATGTCAGAGACAGAATATTAGTCTGGATGAGCCACTAATGTGATCACTATGGCACTTATATTAGTATAAACAACAACACCATCATGCCTCACTTAATGATGGGAATACATTCTGCAAAATGCATCGTTAGGCAATTTTGTCATTCTATGACCATTACAGAGCATATAGTTACATAAAATTAGATAGTATAGCCCACTGCACACCTAGGCTAGGCTATATGGTACAGTGTACTGCTCCTATGCTAAAACCTGGACAGCATGTTACTGTATTAAATACTGCGGGCTACTGTAATATGGTAAGTATTTGTGTCTAAACATTTCTAAACATAGAAAACACCTCTGTATATGCAGTCCCCCAAGGACCAAAATGTTGTCATGCAGTGCATGACTAATTATATAGCCAAGCCACTGACTAATCAGTAGATTCTCTCCAGGTATTTGTTTGGAAAAGGTTGCAGGTGCCATTAAAATTAAACTGTAATTCTTTTGAAATAGATTTAATGGATTAGGATGATAAAAGTTTGAAAACCATGACCTAAAATAAAAGGGCAAAGAAAAGTTTTGTGTGTTTGTTTTTGGCTAGCATCAATGTTAGGTCAGCAGAAAGTTCATATTTGAAAACATCAGTGCTGAATGCCTGGCATGTTTCTCTCTGCCTTTCTGGGAAGGTAGGATCCCCAGAGATACATGATTCAGCCCCTAACAGCAGACAACATGGTCTACTGGATTTATCTCAAATTAATCCTGGGTACCTACAAAAAAAAAGAAATTTAACATTGGAAATAAAAAAATTATTTCAATTTACATGGAAAAGTCTGCCAGTGAGTCTGTTTCTGCAGAAATAAGCAAGCAAAAACACAGCAAGAACTGTAGTAGATATTTAAGCAGATGTCTTTCCAGCAGCCACAGTGCTGCAACCCTTACAGAAAGCCATCTTGCCTGCGTTTGCTCTGCAAGGTCTGCTTATTCCATTAGAATGCTGAACTACGGGAGATATTTTCATTTTCAGGATTTCTTCTTTACCTCATCAGTTTCCCATGTCTTAAGATCTTTATGGTTAAGAAAAGAAATTGCAGTAACCCACTAAATCTGAAAAGATTTGGTAATTATCATCATCAAAACAGTGTCTTGAGTGTCCTTGTCCTCTGCCTTCCTCTTTTTTGCTGACGGCGCCCTGTTCAATCAGGCTCTGGCCAGTGTTCTCCTTAAGATCGAACACCATGCCATCAATTAAGGTGCAGAGTTCTGATGGAGAGATATTTGATTTGGAAATTGCCAAACAATCTGTGACTATCAAGACCATGTTGGAAGATTTGAGAGTGGATGATGGAGATAATGACCCAGCTGTTCTACCAAATGTTAATGTAGCAATATTTTTAACAGGTCATTCAGTGGTGCACCCACCACAAAAATGGCCCTTCTCCTCCTGAGGATGAGGCGAACAAAGAAAACGAACAGAGGAGATCCCTCCTTAGGACCAAGAATTCCTGAAAGTCGACTAAGGAATACTTTTTGTACTTCTTCTGGCTGCAAACTACTTAAACATCAAAGGTTTGCTTGATGTTACATGCAAGACTGTTGCAAATACGATCAAGGAGAAAAGTCCTGAGAAGATTCGTAAGACTTCCCATATCAAAAATGACTTTACTAAAGAAGAGGAGGCCCAGGTATGCCAAGAGAACCAGCTGTGTGAAGAAAAGTGAAATGTAGTTGACACTGTCACACTGTAACAAATGTTACAAATACTAGCTGCACTGCTCTGTTTATAATTGTTAATATCAGACAAAGAGCAGAGAAATGCAGCAGCAAATCAATCATATGAACAGAATACTGTACCCAGTAAATGTGTAGTTAAGAGTACAGATTCCAAACCTATGGCTGAGTTTCTAACAGTATGATCAAAAGTTTCTTTTTTCAATGCTCTGAATAAAACTGTACTGCAGGTTCTCTGTAGAAAATGGCATTTTAGGCTTTCTTTTTTGTAAAGTGACAACTGCCTAGATTATTGTCCAGTTAACTTTAGTGACCTTTTAAAGTTGGCATTGTAAATAAAACAACTTGCAAAAGAAAAAAAAAAAAACAGCAAAACCCGAAACAATGTTTTCAAGCTTATGACCAACGTTAACAACCACAATCCTTTATTGAAGATAGTGACTATTTATTAATCACAGAGTAACATGGGGCTAATAACAGCATCTGCTTAGTGAGGCTGCTGTGCAGTTTAAAAGAGAATGCTCATAAAGCTCCTAGCATACTGTGTGGTATTAGATAAAGAGCTCAAAATTTTATTCCTTACAGCAATGCTGTGATGAGGTGTTCTACCATATCAAAGGTGAGAACACTGAGGATTAGTGGGAGTGACTCACTCCGTTGACAGAGCCAACACATAGCAGTTCTTTTCACCAGCAACCATATTCACTCTGGCCTAGCCAGAGGTGTAACTATTCAGGACAATGGCTAGTTCTTGCTAGGGTCCCTGGAGTCAATGCTGGTTTTAAATCTGATATTTACCTCTCTCAGCTGTGAAACACTAAGCAAGTTAGTGAAGCTCTCTGAATCTGTTTCCTCAGTTCAAGGACCTATCTCAGAGGGTGATTTTGAGTATTAAATACCAGTAATAGAATGTCTCAATAAGTAACAGCTTTCATTTAATAAAAATTAACTGGGCTTCGACTAAGTGCCAGCACTGTTCTAGGTCAGAATCTCCAAATTTATCTGCATATCAGACTCATCTGTGTCAAATTTAAATCTCAACTCCCTGGTCATGCTAGAGACCAGCTAAATCACAATCTATGGGGCTGGACACAGGCATCAGTGGTTTGTGAGGCATCTCAGGTGATTCCAGTGTGCAAGCAACCTTGGAAATCACTGTATGTTAAGAACTGTATTCAAGCACCTTCCCTTAGGGAGCTCCTTGTTTACTCACTCTACTGTTCTAAGCATTTCACACTTGACCGCTTCTTTTGGACTCCTTGCTGCTACTGATGTAGCTCAGGTCCTCAGCACCTCTCCATGAACTCACTAACTTGACCCGACCACTACTACCACTTAGTGCCATCCTGCACAAGGCTCAGCTGTGATCATATCAGCCCTCTGGCTAGCAACTCCTCAGTCTAGCCTTCAAAGCCCTGCACAAAAGGCACCTGCCCATCTCTCCTCCCTATCCCTGGACAATGCCTTATGTCTGCCAATCTGCAAGCAGGCTCATTTGTGAGAATGAGGAAAAAAATCCTCGTAATACTAGATAGCCAGTCTATTGCTCACTTATAAAATAAAATGTTCCCCAATTTAAAACTGTGTTCTTTTAAACAATGGTAACCTTAGTTTTAAGATGCCTTTAATTTCATAATTTTATACGTTCAGATTAAACACCAAAATAAGAATTCCTTTTACCTTAATTTAAGGAGTGGCTGGGTCACCCACTTCTTTAACTTCCGTCTCCCAAATGAAGTTTTAGTGTGGTCTAAAACCCAGAGCAAACTTCCTTTGGTTTTCATATCAGTCTAAGAAAGACCAGAAAACAAGTTTTATTAACTAGACAATTATTTGTCCCAAATTATTATTTCATATACCCCAATTCTAAATGTCATATATTCCTAGCACAACGTGTGGCACATGAGAGGTGTTCATTTAATGTTTGACAGCTGAATAAATACATACAGAAAGAAGTACTGACATTTACACAGAAAAGGGATCATTTGTAGTTTTTGGTTACCTGCAAATAAATTATTCAGAAGATTCTTTTGAAATGCACACTTATCTAAACATCTTTAAAATATAATTGCATACTTTCCTATCTTGAGAACTACAATATATTGAAGATGACTTAATTTTCCTTTGATATTTCACAGTTACCATTTTATAGACCAATGCGCTCATGACAACACTGAACAATGTGCTAGAGACAGATACGAACCTGCACTGTACTCTAGGTATTTACCCAAGAAGGAATTTTAGTCTGTTTTACTAAATCCCTAAAAGAGTTTGCTTTTGCCGCTTAAAATTTGGGTCTTAAAAAAAAATCACAATTAACTAGAGATAGTTCATTTTAACCAAGTTTTCACAGTATTACAAAGCCCACTGAGATATTTAAATCTTGAAACTTAAAATGGCTGTTTCCACTTGAGTTGGGTTTTTTGGTCTTTTCTTTATTCCTTTTCCTCTGTAAGTAGCTACTTCCAGAGAACCTTCTATGTGCCGAACACAGCAAGGACATGGTCCTGCCCTCAGGGTGCTTATAGCCAAGATGGAAAAAGGCTCATAATTAGGATACAATGCCACCTACCAGGAATCAACTAAAAAAGGTGTGACATAAGCTCTCAGGTCTCAGGAGTTCAATGCAGAGAGCACAGAGAAGGTACAAGGTCAGAAAGGTTCCTCTGAGGATGGGCTGGAAGGGGAGGACAGTCCAGGTCAGCAGCAGCACTATATGTTCCTGAAACCAGAGCCTGAATGGCCTGACTGGGGTAAAGGGTCCCATGAGGAGGACAATTCCCAGATACCAGTGGAAAAGCAGGCTCAGGCAAGAGGGGTGGGAGAGACGCATGTCCTATCATATCTTTGTTCTCGCTGACACCCAACCCCCACATTTCACCTCTTTCCATTGCTCCTTGGAAAGGAGTGGTGATGGGGGGAGTTGAGGTACAAAGACAAGCAGTTGTTAATCCTTAGCTTCTCCTTCTAAAATGGTGCAAGGCCCAACAAAGGAAGGAATTTTAAAGGGTATTTTAATTCTAGATGATTTTTGCCTTAGGAATTTGATTTCAGAACTGGCTCTGTTGTAGTAGGATTTGAACAGAGAAGATGCAGCAGAAGCAAGGAACGCTTGCAATGCCAGGGCTGGCTGCAGGCTGACTGTGAGCACTCCTTCAGCCAAGAAATGCCCCTTGACTCCTACTACTTGTTTCCTATCATGGAGATGGCTACAGAGTTGATGAGTGAGATCTGCAGGACAGATTCTCAGCTTTTAGATGATGACAAGATAAAAACGTTACTGAAGAAAAATACGTCTGAATTCAGCATAGCAGAACAGACTGGAACAGGAAGAAATTAAGGGAAACTAGTTATTAATATACAGATTCAGGAGTCAGGAGAATAAATTCAGCATTTGCTTTAATTTGCAAAAGTAAAAAATATTTCTGAAGAGCTTTAACTCCTTTGACTCAGACAGCTCTGGTTCTCCACTACTTAATCAAATGACTGGGGGTTGCTTTTTATCTATATGACTTTGTTGGGATAACATTAATTTCATAATATCTCATCTTCCCAAGTGATAATTTAATAAATGAAAGCAATAACTTTAATCTATTATCTTCCTAATTCATCAATAAAAGACAAACAATGAAAGCTTACAAACTGAGGCTGGACGCAGTGGCTCATGCCTGTAATCATAGCACTTTGGGAGGCCGAGGTGGGCGGATCACCTGAGGTCAGGAGTTTGAAACCAGTCTGGCCAACATGGCAAAACCCCGTGTCTACTAAAAATGCAAAAATTAGCCAGGCGTGGTGGTGGATGTCTATAATCCCACCTACTAGGGAGGACGAGGCAGGAGAATCGCTTGAACCTGAGAGGAGCAGGTTCAAGATCGGTGTTGCGGTGAGCCAAGATAGCATCACTTCACTCCAGCCTGGGTGACAGACTGAGACTATCTTGGAAAAAAAAAAAAAAAGAAAGGAAGTTTATGAACTGAAATATTATGCATCTTATAGTCAAACTGAATATCCCAGAAACCTGTTTTATAACTTGAATAATAACACTGCAAACATTTCAACAAAAAGTTCAACGTATATTGAAAAAACATAACCAAGTAGACAAAAGAAAGTCACTTCATATTAATTTTCAATGATGATGCCTTTCCAAAAAAATACCTGATGCAGAAATGATGATACAGAAATTGTCAGGATGAGCATGCCCCTCAGTCATTAAAAAGGGCAGCTCCATTGTTCCCCCCCAAAACCCCAAAGAAGTATTTCGTACAGTTCATTCTCCAAAAAGTGCTACAGTTATCAATTAACAGAGCAGTCAGCTAAAGACACTATATTTTCACCTGCTCCTCTAAAAGCAGACTGCTGCCTACCTTACTCGGAAGTTTTTTCCAAAACAATTTATAATCAACTAACCCTTATGTTTGCCTGACCTGATTCTGTAGGATTTCCAGATTCCTTAATGTTGTTCCATTAATTGTCATAAAATCCATTTTACTTGACAGCTGTTTAAAATTCCTGTAAAATAATCAAACATAATTACCCTAGATGTAAGTGCATAAGGAAATAAAAACTAATTCAGGAACTAGAAATATTCCGGTTACATTACGGCAAAAAATAGCATTCTGATAGGAAATCAAATCAAAAGGAGCAAAATGAAAATTCACTAGGTTGTATTCCATTAATGCTGGTGCTGTTAAATATATTGATGCAAGACAAGGATAGTTACTCTAACAAAACAAACAAGAACAGGGAAGGAAAGTAATGGTAACAACATTTTGCTTCAGTTTTGCTCCAGGAATAGAACCGAACATGGTCTTTTATCATTAGCCAAGCACAGTAGTCATATCTTCGTGAAAAGCTATGCAATCAGCTAGAAAAATATGTCATGATACTTAAACCTGTTGTCCTTATCCTTCAGCATGAGATCATCTTGATAAATACTTTTAATCAAAATTATAGGCCAGGCACACTGGCCCACACCTGTAATCTCAGCATTTTGGGAGTCCAAGGCAGGTGGATCACCTGAGGCCAAGAGTTTGAGACCAGCCTAGCCAATATGGCAAAAACACATCTCTAATAAAAAATACAAAAATTAGCCAGGCATGGTGGCGTGTGCCTGCAGTCCCAGCTACTCAGGAGGCTAAGGCACAAGAATAGCTTGAACCCAGGAGGTGGAGGTTACAGTGAGATGAGATCACACCACTGCACTCCAGCCTAGGCGACACAGTGAGACTACTTAGAAAAAAAAAGATTCCAACATATTCAACAAGTGTTACTTACTCTGTAATTAACAACACACATTACCATGGCCACATTTAGTGGGTATAAAACACTGTTATTTTCTTAAGCTCAGTTAAAGCATTCACACTCTCCTTCTTGTCCCTTTCACTATCCAAAACAAAATTAGAAATTCAATAAATTTCAATGTGAGAATGAGCTACAACATGACTATTAAATGTATGTATAATTCCAATTCATGTTAAGAAGTACTAATCAATGTAGTACTAATGCAGTAATTCAATTTCCTTTATCAGCCAGTCCTCAGATGTTTCTGTCAACAGCACTTACAGGCTTAAGAGCTTATTTTTAAAGGCAAGAAAAGTAACAGCAGGTCACCAAATTATGTAACGAAAGAAAGGCATAAGTGTTCGTGCTATAAACCCAACCACCCTTCTCATGGCTGTAACGAAACTTAGGTAACATCCAGTTTCCCCACTTATAAAAACAAGCCCTCCCCCAGAACTGTAGAGAACCTAAAATCAGAGCCTGAAAAAGCAGCACCCAAAAAGAGATTCCTTCACTTCTAGATGACTCCTCTGACCAAGGCTTTTAAGCCCTGGAAAAGAGAAATACATTGTCTCAAATTAGGAATATTACCTAGTAACAAAGGAATGCTGTCCTTTGTTAGTGTAATGCATCTGTGACAGGTTTGATCTAGCTTCAAAAGAATGATAATCTGTTAATGATTTTCAGAGGGAAGCAACTCCAAAACTGAAGGATAGCAGATGTTCAGCCCTTTTTCTCCCTCTTGTAGCAGTTAATTTGTCTTGAATTACAGCAATTTATGTTGTACCTCTATCCTCCTTAATAGATCTAAGCTCCCTGAAGGCAAGGATCACATCTTAATTCATCCTGTGGCACCTGTAGGGCTTAGCGAACAATAGATGCTCTACAAATGTCTGCCATCTCCCTATGGGAAAACCAGGCTGGGTTTACTTTTTTTCCCTTTGAATCACAAACCTCCAGAAATGTCTGTGAAATACCCAGAGAAAGTTACAAAATGTAAAACATTATTTACAAGAAGAAACAATTAGGCAGCGATTGGCTGTGTAGCTGACAAGAGCTCACATAAATTCATGGTCAAAGATCAACCTGGAAGGGCTGATAGCCTGGGCTCTGAGTTGGTACCTAACCAGTTACCCACATGTTTAGATATGAGTCCTTACTTTCCCTGTTCTGACAGTTATTTTTAACTAAGTCCATCCTAGGGGTGACTAGTTAACATGTTAGTGCCCTAAACAGACATCGACTCTAGAAGGGTACTTAGTTGGCATCTTTGCCCATTTAGTTATAACAGAACATCTCATAATGGGCAGTTTGTAAACAGAAGTTTATTACTCAGAGTTCTGGAGGCTGTGAATTCCAAGATCAAGGTGCCAGCAGATTTGGTGTCTGGTGAGGGCTCATTTCCCATAGACGGCACCTTCTGTTTGTCTTCACATGGAGCAGAGGCAAACAGTTCCTTCAAACCTTTTCTATTAAATATAAGGGCATTAATCCCATTTACAAACGATCTGCCTTCATAACCTAATCACTTCCTAAAAGGCCACACCTCTTAATACCTTAAACCTCACATGACTAGGTTTCAACATGTGAATTTTGAAGGACACAAACATTCAAGCCATAACAGTTGGCATGAGACTAATCAAGAAACCACAATCTAGCAGCCTTTCCTAAAAGCATCTCAGCTAGCTGCCTTTATCTTCTGTCAACAACAGATGTGTTAAGACATAATTTTTCACTGGCAAAATATGTGGTATGGAAGTTTGTGAGCTGTGCAGAAATACTGCCCAGTTGGCTCCTCCCTCACATGAACAGAGTATAATAATCCTGTAAACCCAACAGTCCATACCCTAAGAGATGGTGTTTTAGGCTCAGGAATCTGAAAACATCCCCTCTTCTACCAGTTATCTCAGGATTTGTTCCCTGACTCCAACTAAAAGTGAACTGTCCCTATTATAATGTTGCATATGTTTCAAGTGAACCACTGAAACAAGATACTGTCAGAATACCAAAATGACAGAATTGGAATTTCACAGAGCTAGAGAAGAGTTTCTGTGACTGTTTTTATGCCCACTTGCTAAAAAGTATCTAAATGAGTGGCAGAATTCAGTTTGAATTAACCCACTACCTGGTACAGAGGGGGTGGGGTAGAAGGCTTATAGCCTTCATCTACATACAATTTACCCAATATCTACAATATCAAAAAGAAAGCAGGAACTGTCAAAAACCAAGTTGGTTCAAGTTAGCTCACAACACCAGACCTTTAGAGAGCAAAAGTGTAGGTTATTTTAGTTAATGGTATTAATGTAAGTATTAATGTGTTGTATGTGCAGTTTTTTATTTGGTTGGTTGTGGGTGTTTCTGCCTTTTCTTTTACTGTGGGTGTTTTTGTTTTTTCTTTTTGTCCTTAATAAATTATCTAAATTTCAAATTAGATGCAGTGGGAACTTTTTTAAACTGACATCTACATTGATTTTTAAAAAAGATCAACCGCTGGGCAATCTTAAATCAAACTGCTTCCCATCTAGAATGGTAATTATCAAGCAACTACAAGGACTAACCATTCTTCTGGATTCCCATATATTTCATAAGTATTTATAATTATACGTATAAATTTATAGGTATTCTGGAGTTGGAGACTTCCTTCCCTATAGAAATGAAATTTCCTTCTGTTAGCACCTATTTCCGTTAGAATCATATATATTTTTGAACTAAGGGTTATATCTGCCAGCATCCTTAGGTATCCAATAGTATCTGATCACTGACCTGAAACACTCAAGCAATTCTAAATTATTTATCCTTGTGGAAGAAGCCAAATTCTATGTGCTTTGAAATGAAACTCATCAACAATGTCTGGCTAGAATTCATGCTGTGTGAACCTGAATAGAAATCTTATACATATGGGAAAATAGTTTATCAATATTTCAGACACCAAAAATACAATGGATGCTTTTTTTCCCTCAATAATGGGTGAGAAACATCTTTGCCAAAAGTGGGATGGAGAAATCAACACTATATTACTCCAACCCTGCTTAAAAAAAAAAAAAAGAAAAGAAAAAAGAAAACCAATCTTCTTAACTTAGACAAAGGCAATAAAGGCATAGAACTTATTTGAAATATTAATCCATTACAAAGATTCTATTTAAACATCATTTTAAAATGGAAACAATGACAAAAAAACTACCACATAACACACAAAATCTATCACTGAAAACAGTTCTATATGTACAGAAATATTTTCAGAGTTCATAAATTCAGTTCATAATTTCAGAGTTCATAAATGTGTCTAACATTCTGGCAGTTAATTTGATCTATAAATTATAAATTGTATTATATTACAAAATGTCAGGATTATAGATTCACTTACAATTGATTTGTAATTAAACAACATGACTAACTTTAATTCCTAAATGCTGCCTAAATAAGCCCATTCCTAAATAAGCCCATTCGAAAGGCAAATAATGAGAAAGGTGTATGTTGAATCCACAAGACCACTGCCAGGTTCAATGATTCATGGAGGATACACAGGACTCGACATAAAATAATACTAACAGCTATGATTTATTACAGTGAAAGAATGAAAAGCAAAATCAGGGGCCGGGCGCGGTGGCTCAAGCCTGTAATCCCAGCACTTTGGGAGGCCGAGGCGGGTGGATCACGAGGTCAAGAGATCGAGACCATCCTGGTCAACATGGTGAAACCCCGTCTCTACTAAAAATACAAAAAAAAATTAGCTGGGCATGGTGGCACGTGCCTGTAATCCCAGCTACTCAGGAGGCTGAGGCAGGAGAATTGCCTGAACCCAGGAGGCAGAGGTTGCGGTGAGCCGAGATCGCGCCATTGCACTCCAGCCTGGGTAACAAGAGCGAAACTCCGTCTCAAAAAAAAGAAAAAAAAAAAAAAGAAAAGCAAAATCAGGCAAAGAAAAAGATGCCTGAGGCAAAGTCCAGGGGAAACCAGGGCCAGCATCCAAGAATCCTCTCCAGGTGGAGTCACACAGGATCCACTTAATTTTCCCACCAATGCATTTTAACAACATGTGTGAAATGTCCACCAGGGAAGCTCATCAGAGACTCAGCACCCATGGTTTCTATCCTGGACTGGTGCCATAGGTACCCTCTCCCTACCATGTACCAAAATTCCAGCTGCCAGAAAGTAGGTGATCAGCAAAAACCACGTTGTTTGCACAAACAGTTAAGGCACAGTGAGCCCCTCTCATTGGGGAATGGTGA